CGCCGCCGCCTTCCCCCCCGCCTCCGTAATCCCGGGCGCGGGGTCTCGCGGGCACCCCGGCCCTCGCTGGGCAACTGGGTGAAGCATCCGAGTGASAAGCGGGGCCGGCGGGGACCCCCCCTCCTCGGCCGCACGGATGGATTTCARCCGCTTGGCAAAAAGGCCATGGCGGCAGCCCCAGCTTGGAGAGGAACCGCACGGCGCAAATCCCGAGGCAGCTGCTGCCGCCGGGCAGGAAAACCCTTGGCGGCCGCGGGGCTGGCTCCCGTGGGATGATGTGGGCCAGGGGGTGTCCCCGCTGTCCCCTGCCCGCCCGTGTCCGAGCCGTTCCTGGGGAGGGGGCGGGAAACAGGTGTTTGTCAACAGCCCTGGGAAGGCCCCGCAGCAGCGGGAAGCGTAGCAGAAACAATTAAAAGGAAAAAAAAAAAAAAAAAAAAAAAAGAAGGAAAAAAAACTAGGAAAGCCCTTGTCCACACCCGGATGGCCCCAGGTCATTGCACGTCTCCAGAGAGCGGCTGCGGAGCCGGAGTGGCCGTGGCCGCAGCGTGGAGCTCCGGCCTCTTCCCAAGATGGCTCCCTCCTCCCCAGAGGAGCAGCCGCGGCCTGTCCAGCGGGCACCCCGGGGAGTGGCGGCCCTGCCTCCTTCCCTGCGAAGTGAGGCCCCCATGGCAGGCACAGCCCAGGTCCAGGAGACGGAGGATGAGCCATGGGGAAGTGAGCGGGTGGGCTGCCCGCTCCAGCCTACAAAATGGCTCCCCAGCCTGGACACCATGTATTGCCCTGGCCCAGCACAACCGCCCTGTTCCCCACACAGGCAGCTCCATGGAGGTTCCTCCAGATCCCGTTTTTCCCCACACAAGGCAGGACGGGTCTACACCTGGCAGCCCGACATCAACCCCGCCAGCCTCTGCTGACAGTGCCACGGGCAAGACGGCTGCAGAACAGGACTGCTTTAGAGCCACAACAATAAAGATGAGGGGAAGAACAGAAACTCAATTCCAGGATTCGAATGGAAGCAGCCGGTCGCTGTCCCGGGAGGGTGGAAACCTGCACACACAGAACGTCCCCCAGCCTTCAAAATGGCGGCCCCTCCCATGGCCTCCGCCTYGTGTGTCCAGGCGCCGCTCCGCCGGGCGCAGGCGATTCCGAGGCTGCAGAGGGGACTGCGGAGGGCTCCGGGCGAGCAGCGGGGACGTGGGGATCCCAYGTGCGTGTCCTTGCAAAACCTGGAGGGAAATGGCCTGCCCGGCAGCCTGAGCCTGCTCCCATCGGAGTGTGCCGGGTCCCGCCATCCTTCCCTCCCCCCTCCGCCTCGGCCGGGCTCCCAGGYGGAGACGCTTAATCCCGACAAACCAGTTTGACTCAGCACAACAGGAACGGCCACAATTTTAAAAACATGCAAGTCTGTGATTCAGAGTGCCGGGGCTGTTTTAATTAAACGCCAAGCGCCCGTGTACCAGCGGCGGCGGCAGCAGCAGCGAACGGCTCACGGGGAGAAAATGCAACCGACTGGTTTCCCCGAATATCTCCCCCGCTAAGTCATCACAACAAAACAGGGAGTTTCGGTTCATTCCTTAAAAAGCGGAGGCCGTTATTTGGTGGCGTGGAGGGCGCGCGGGGCCGCGGCCGCCCAAGCCCTTCCCTCTCACCACCTCGCCGCATGCTCCGCTCCACACAAAGGAGCCCTGCTCCTCCCCGCCTCGGCCAGGCACGCTGCAAGCACCGYGTGGCTCGGCTGCCTTCGTTCATTTATTTGGATATTTATTTATTTCCTGCGAGGAGCGGGAAGGTTGTGACGGACGCGGCGGTGCCCCGCGCCCGGCTTCCTCACCTTGCCCTACCCYGAGCGTCAATAAAACAGCAGGGCGAACTTTCATGAATCACCCCATCGAGAAACAAGCCGTTTCGGTGAAAAGTAATTAAACGAAAGGCCAATCTTCCTGCCAAGGAAATACCTGGCGGYTCCAGCACGGGGGGCAATTAGACGGGGGTTGCTGCCCCAGTGCACCACTCACGTGCAGCCCATGGGAAGCTCAGCGGGAGCTTTGGAGCAGCCAGTGCACCGAGCCCGCAGGAGTTAAAAGAYCCGCCTTGCCCTGCAGTTTTAGGCTTAATCCTCCCTTTTCCCACAGGAAAGTGTGCTGGAGTTGGGGCATCACCAATAGCATCCATGGGGGTTCAGGGCTGTCTGTAGCAAAAGGGGGGTCTCTGCTGTGGGGTTTCTGCAGGAGCAGCAGATGGAAAAGCCCAARTCTGAATGGAGCCTGGAAGCTGCCACCAAAGAGGCTGGAGCGGGGCAGCTGCCCGGCACAGGGATGGCTTTCTCCAGAGAGCACCCAGATCCCCATGCTCCCTGCAAGACTGCAGCACCCATCCATACATTTTCCCAGCGGGATACTTTGAGGTCTGAGCATTTCAACTGCAGGGCAGAGAGAGAAAGGGCCTCAAAATGCAGCGTTGCCCCTGCGGCTGCCGCCGMGGCTCTGCCGGGGCACTCAGGCCCCAGGGCCTCCCCTCTCCTCTCCCAGCTTTCCAACCCGCCGCTGGAGAAAGGCCCCGCTGTTGCCCCCGGACAGAGCATTCCTTCTCTGGCAGGCCAGGGACTGCTGAACCGGAGAAGAAAAACACATTGTGACTTCAAACCGCGGCCCGCACGCTCACGGGATCCGCCGAGAAACCATTTTCTCCTGAGCAGCACAAAGCCCTCACTGAGGCGCCGCCGCGCGCGGCGTGGCTCCCCCGGCCCCACGGGGCCTTCCAAGGAAGCCCAAGGCAGCGGCAACCCCGGCGGAGGGCAGTGCATCCCGGGTCCCGCCAGGCACTCACTTGCCCGGGCATCCCGGCCCCGTGAGATGGTGCCGGGGCCGTCAGYGCGAGTTTATGGCCGGTGTTTGCATACCTGAACGAAGGCGCCCGCGCTTTACAGGAAGGGCTCTGTTACTCCGCTCTGCATCGGGAAGCGGCATGAGAGTACCGGGAGCTCCCCTAAAGGGGATCAAGCATCCCCCAGCCTGGGCACTCCACCTACTCCCTCCAGCAAGGACAGAAGCAAAGAGGGGTAAAAGCCATCCCGAGAACACAGGGCAGGACAGCGCCTTCGGCCTCGTACCCTGCCAGCCAGCAGAGAACCCGCCGCTCTCCATCCCAGGCAGCCATCACCTCTGCTGGGCTCTTTGCACGGGATGGAGCTGCCACCCCCCCAGCCGGGGGAACCRTCCTGGGCACCCTGGGGTGCTGCACGCCCCACGGGCCCCCACRCTGCCCTCCTCCTCCTCCTCCATTCCCCTGGCGGGGAGAAGTGCCGCGCGGGGCCGGGTCGCCGCGCCGGGGAGCACTCGGTGCACGGGGCTGGACGTGAGTGCCCTGCCGCGGGCTGCCGGTGCGGGAGCCTCCAGCCGCCGCCGYGCCGAGGCCCACGGGGCCTCCCTTTCCACAGCTTCCATCGCGCCGAGTGCGTGTGGGGTGGGGGGCAGCGGGGAGGAAGGAAAAGGAGGGGAAAAAAAAAGGGAAAAAAAAAGAAAAGGAAAAAAATCATAAGAATTGCACGCTGCGCAGGAGGTTGACCAAGCACACCCAAAAACTCCATTTCCTACAGCCTACAAAGGCCAACGGTTCCACACGCATTCCAAAAAGAACAAAAAAAAAAAAAAAAAAAAAATCACTGGGAAAAGGGGGAGGGGTAAAAAGAAACATTTGTAACAACAAAATCCCAAACTTTCTCACACGGCCCAAAGCCAGAGGAAACCTTCATTTTTTTTTTTCCCCTCCAAATTGCAGCAGGTCAGGGCTTCTGCCCACAGTAACCCCCAAAATAAACACCCCCCCCTCAAACGGTCGCAGCCCAAACATTGCAACACGGGGCTATTGCAGCGGAAGGCAGCGCCGAAATGACTACAAACAAAAGCCGCCACGGCCTCCCTCTATTTTCTTCGCCACAAACGATCCAAACGATCCAAGGAGAATAAACAGAAAAGAAAAAAAAAAAAAAAAAAAAAAAGAGAAAAAAAAAAAAAAAAAAAGGCATGGTTTCTCACTTAGAAAATTAGCATTAGTTGGGGGAAAAAAAAAAAAAAAAAAAAAAAAGAGAGAGAGAGAGAGAGACATAAAACACCACAACAGCCAAGCGAGCATTTTTGGAGCAGACTTGACTTGTTTTCCCAACAAACTGGGAGATTCCCTTTATCTGATTTTTCTGATTTTTTTTTTTCTTTTTTGTGTGCGTGTTTTTCCCTCCCTTTGGAGCACTCGGGCCTCCCCTCCCAGCCCCCTCTCCCGCCCCTTCCCACCCCGCAGCTCCTGGAGCGGGGGAGCCCCGGGAGGCAGAGCCGCCTCCCCCGGCACGGGCGCCCGGGACCGCCCCGCGATCCCGCCTCGCCGGGGACGGAAAATTAATTGCTTTTTAGCCCCCACCGACCCGGAGCGGCTCGAGTTGGGTGTTTTGWCCCTTCTCTTCCTTCCTTCCCTCCCCTCCCTCCTTGTTTTCCCTTCCGCGGCCGCCGGGATGCGACGGGAGGGACGGGGGCGGCCGCGGGACACGACGAGCCCCGGGAGCGCCCCCCGGCCGGCGCCGCGGGGGTTAAGGCGCCCGGGGCTCGGGCCGGACAGAGCCCGGCTCCCGGACACTCCTCCCGCCGACACTTCTGGCACAGAACGAGCTCGCGCCGAAAAAAAAAAATATTAATTTTCCAGCCCTCCCGATGGCGGCGGAAAGCGGCTGGACGTGAAGCGAGTGTGCAACGAGGCGCCGCTGCCGCCGGCCGCATCCCGCCGCCCGCCTCGCCCCGCTTCCCCTGCGCAAACACGGCGCGTTCACTCTGAAGCCTACCGACGGCGGCGCGGGCCACCGCGCTCCCCGCAGCCGCCCCGAAACCGCCCGCGCTCCCAGCGCGCCCGGCATGAACCCCGACGGTTCCGCAGCCAACTCGGCGGCGGCAGCGACCGGCGGCCGCCGCCCACCCTCCTCCCGAGCAAGCGGCGCCGGTGCGGCGGCGGGCACCCACCTTCGAGCGCGCGGCGTCCGGCGGGCAGCAGCAGGAGGATGAGGAGCGGCAGCGGCGGCGGGGCGGCCATGGCGGAGCGGGGCGGCGCC